CAGGTTGAGTGGCTCGCTCTCGCTCACTTCCAGTTGCATGCAAAGTGGACGACAAAAAATATATACGTGTGTGGGTGTGTCGATGTGTGTGTGTGTGTGTGTGTATGAGGAGGCAGCGACGAAGTGACCGCACTTTAGACACTGCACTACACCTGAGTCGACCTTCTCTCCTGCCAACAACAACACGGATTGGTTGCAGCCTGCCTGCACTTAATGCGCGCCACTAGAAGCAGATTAGTTGCATTACGCTTCGTGCTCTTAGCCGTGCACAGCCATATTAATATTTCAAAGGATGGATGGGGTCAGTCGGCAGGTTGACTCCTTCGTCCGTCCGTCCATCCGTACGTTCGTTCGCTCCTTTTGCCTGCGCTACGTTAAAGTGGCAGTTGAAGTTGCAGAAAGCCGTTTAAAGTGAGTTTAGTTGCAAATGAGTTGACGTTTTCAAGACGATTGGAAATTATTGTTTTTTTAAGGTTCCCTCGCTAGGTCTGGATTTTGTACTAACAAATTTAGTGATCAGCCTATAAGAAAAAACTTCATTTATGACAGTGTAGGGAATTGCTAAGAAGGCTTTAGAGGCACAAGTGATTGTGGAAAACTCCGCTCAGAATATAGACAGCATCAGATAATATATTATAGTTAGCTTCAATAAGGCTTTGGATTGTTATACACTTTTATATATGCTTGTTAGTTAAGGTAACAACTAATGAAATAATACAATTAATGCGTATTATGTGTAATGCTGTTTAACACTCGATTTAAATTATTTTTACTTTACTTGCCTTCAAAACGACATATACATAAATAGTTGTACTTAAAACGGTCAGCGTTTTCCAATCAGATTTCAATTCAAAATATTTCTGTAAAAATGACAGTTTTCGGATACGTTGATTGATTTTGTAGAAAAAAGTCTATTTAATAAACGAAATTTGATTAACAATAATAAATTTGTTAATAGGGCTTTATAAATTAGCTCCTTTTCAATAATTTACTCATTTCATACGATTAGCAATTAACCATCACAACATATAAGTATTATTATTGATAGTCGAACTTTGGAGTACTCTCTCATTCATAATTCATTCAATTAATTCCTAAAACCTTCAAAGATAGCAAACCCTCCGTCGTAAGCCCTATGTTTACAAACTTCAAATTCATTTGATGTGCACGATAACATGCTTATACTTTTAAGAATGGAGCAGAACTCTCATTTATTCTAACAAGTAAATTTATTTACATTAAATAAGTCACAGATTTGCTTTTTGAAGAAAAAAGACATTGTTAAATAATTTTCGTCACTGTAAAAAAATAAATATAGCCTAAATCATTTACCCTCGAAAACATGACAGTGCTTTGATTTCCAAAAGCCTATTCTATTTAATCAATCATTAATCAATGAAGAATTGTAGATCTCATTCCAATCAGAAACTAAATAACGCAATCTTTTATAGTCAGTATCAGGATTATTATCCGATTTCGATCCCTTGTTTTATATTCTGCATGTATTTTAGCCACGAATCGACTGCCTGATTGACGCCAACTTGTCTGCTCCTTTAAGTAATAACATCAGAGATCTCGCTCCGGCGATTGCTTGCAAGTCGCCAGCGGGGGCATTTCCAGAACTATTGGCAGTCAGCCACAATCATCAAAAGTCAAATTCAATGAATTTTAAATTTTTTTCCTCCTATGCATGCAACCTCCAACCATCAACCAAACAACGAACCAAACCCCAAACCCCAAACCCAAACTAAACCCAACCCAACCGAACCCAAGCCAACCAACAAGCAGCGGAGCGATGACTTGGCAGAATTGCTGCATTGCTGTTGTTGCCACTTGTTCGGATTATGATAATGTAGCTCAAGTGCAGTTAGTTGTTGTCGTTGTTGTTTCTGTTGTTGTTGTTGTTGCTGTTCTTGTTAGTGTTAGTGTAGAGTTGTGCGCTTGCGATAATAATAATAATAATGCAAGTGCTGGCGCCATTGCAGGCGTTTGCATTTGATGATAACATTGATGATGCAGAGTTGTGCGAAGTTGAAATGCCAATAGCATTTAGTTGGGTGGGTGGGGTTGGGATTGGATTGGGGTTTTGGCAATGGGACTGGGACTGGCACTGGGGTTACTTGTGTTGCACGTTTCTGCCTGCCAGCCAGCCAGCCAGCCAGTCGTTGCGCATTGCAGCACGTAAGTGCAACGCATTGCTGCTCTGCATTCATTATAATGCAGCCATTAAATTTCAAAATGCATTTGCGGTCTTTAAGTTGTGGTCGGAGATCATCATGACTACGATAATTGTATGGTTAAGTGCTGGTTTTATGAATTGAGTGGCAAAATACTGGTACTTAGAGCAGGGGTGGAGGCGAGCAGGGGAGATATGGTCAATTGTTTATATTAAACGGCATGTAAGAATAAAAAGTAAAGTTTAACAGCAGCTCAATACATAGACAAAGTTCTCTAGCGTAGTTAAAGTTCGTTAAAGTTTTAGAAAAAAGAGTTCAAATCCTATTCTTGTTTGAACTAAAACTGCAAACTGCTGCTACTAAGACCCGAACTAAAGTAAAATATTCTCTAAAAATAAAAACGAGCTTAGACTTTACTTAGTTCGTACCGTTTTGGATGGCTTTTTAAAGCAGTTTTGCTTAACAGAAATTTTAAAATATTTGCTTCATACGCTGAAAATAAACACAGCATACTATGTTACTCAATTTATTTAAATGAATTTAGTTTAGTAAACCCAATTGCGCTTTTATTGGACGCCGCCCTGCCAACATAATAAAATGAAAATGTTTAGCAAATATTTAAATATTCCAAAATTTGCAGAGAAAATATTTCTTGATTGATGCTATTGAGGCTTGACTAAAAATCAATTTTTGGCCCATAAGCAGCTTAATTATAATTTTAATTGATTTTCGAAAACAGATTTTACACAACGTCGACATCAGCAGCAACAGCAACAGCAACAACAATTTGTAATTGCCACATGCCCCAAAACTGGGGCTCCCTCAGCATTATTTGCCTGGCACTGACGACACTCACAATTGGCTTTGGCAACAATTTTTGCATTTTCGCAACAAAATATTAATGATGGCCATCCAAAAATTATACGCTGACAAATTCATGAAAAGCATTTGGCTCCGGCAATTATAAACTAAAACACATTTCGCACCTAAATAATAGTTATTATAATAACAATAGCATTGCATGTCGGTTTCTATAACAAATGGCTGCCCATTTGTTGCTGCCATCGTAGGTGCCTAATGAAAATTTACCAAAAATGTAGCTGTTGGTTCGCTGTCGACGCTTAGTGGGCGTTGCAGCTTATATTGGTTGCACAAATTTTCAATTCCATTGCCGTAACATGCGGAATGTGGCATCGATTTTGGCCAACAGAAATAATTACATTCGTTATGCGACTTTAAAACTAGCTGAGAGATAATAAATGTGCCTTTTTAACATATTCTCGTGTAGAAATATATCGCAATTGAAACTGCTTTTCTCATAGAGCTATGAAGCACACTCCACTCATAAGGTTTTTTTTGTAACTCCTTGCTGAGCGGCTTTTTGTTGTTAACTTTAATTCAATTCTTACTTCTACTTCAATTTACTTTAAGTTACTCTTCATTAGCCAAAATGAAAATGCTATCAAATGTCTTCATAAATTGGAAAAAATTTAAGAATTGTAAAGTAGGATAGAAGATATGGGGGTAGAGACGGAAGCTAAGTTGGCTGAGAAATTGGCTCTGTGGTGGAAAAGCAATGGATGTTTATTTAGCTTATGATGCAACCATTAAGAAAAATTATTGCGCTAAATGTTTAGCAATTGAGCTAAATAAGAGAATAAAAGAGATTAGTTTAGAAAAACTGCGCTCAAAATAAACTTCAAATGAAATTATTACTTTAATTTTCGATTGAAATAAACTACAAATGAACAAATTATTTAAATTTTCCATTGAAAAATGCCTTTGATTGAAATAAATTACAAATGAACTAATTATTAAAATTGTCGATTGAAATATGCTTCCTAATACTCGACTAGGAGACTGTAGCCTGATCCAATATAATATTGTAAGGTGTGGTTTAATGAATATATACCATAAGATATATCTATCTAGGACTAATAAATTAACATTAAATTAAAAAAAAAAAGAAGCAAATTAAATATAAATTGTAAATTGCTTGCCATTAATATTTGATTGGAAAAGCGCCACAAAATGATTATTTATTCAATTTTTATGTAAAAATCGCTTGCAAATAAATAAAACACATTTTAGGAATTCCACCATTTACTCTCCACCTCTACCTTTTCGCCAATTGTTCGTAATATATTCATTTGCAACATTTAACTCGTAATTCCTAATTTGTTTATGAGCGAGCCAATAATTTGATAACATTTAATTTGTTGTGCGCCACGCATTGCGCTGGTCTGTGCCTGTGTCTGTGTAAATAAATTAACTGCCAGTTGGCCAAACACAGGGGCCACCCATTAAAAACACAAAGACTGCAAAGCGGCGAGGGAGGGGTGGACGAAGGATAGGTGCGCCCCAATGCCCCGTCCCGCGCCCTTATTACATTTGCAAATATTTGTCCAATTGCGAAAATGCCGCTAATTAGTTATCGCATGAACAGAAACGCGAGAGCGAGTTGTTGTATAATTTATGCAAAATTAATTGAGCACTGCACAAATGGTGAAATGAACTTGAATATCTGGGCCCGAACCGGTCCTAGGCCACCATCATTCATTGTCGCCCAGGTGGCCAATGTCAGTGCCATTCGATATCTCTGGCTAAGGCCGACTTGCGACCGAGACTGTGGTTTACAATTTCATGGCTTTGCATTGTTTTTTTTTTTTTTTTTTTTTTTTGCAATGCAGAGGCAGAAGCTGCAGTTTCCGCATTTGTTGTTGTTCTCTCAAGTTGAATAACATTTTTCACGCAACGATTAATTTACCAAGGCATTACGAATTGCGAAAAATAATAAACTTGTATTTGTTCTCTCGTTTTCAGAACGCAAGCTATTTGTGGGCATGCTAAGTAAGAAATTCAACGAGAACGACGTGCGTAAACAATTCGAGGTATACGGACCCATTGAGGAGTGCACGGTTCTGCGCGATCAGAACGGTCAGAGTAAGGGTTGTGCCTTTGTCACATTTGCCACAAAACACGCCGCCATATCAGCCATCAAAGCGGTAAGTCTAGCACCAATTTCAACTCCCATTAGAGTTAGAAGCTCTGCCCGAACCAATAATACTAATGACCCATTTTTACAGACTCTGAGTCAAAACAAAATCATGGAAGGCTGCACCTCACCGCTGGTCGTCAAATTTGCCGATACACAGAAGGAGAAGGAGCAGAAGAAGATTCAGCAGATTCAGGCGAATCTATGGAATCTGGCCACCAATATTAACATCCCACTGGGTCAGACGGCCACCACAGTGTCGACGCCCATACTGCCAAACCCACCGCAACAACCGTCGCCAGTATTGGGCGCGGACGCACTGACGCCGGCCTCCATACAACTGCTGCAGCAACTGCAGGCAGTGGGACTGCAACAGCAACTGTTGCAAGGTAGGACTCCATACTTTCTATTATTTTCGGGGCACACAAGAGCTTACAAAAATATTCAGTGCTTAAAAGGGCGATACAAAATTAGTTAATAGAGCTGTCAAGTTAGTAGTAATAGTGGCGTTATTTCAAAGTTTCGATGGGTTTCTTGTTTCTTCTTATTTTTATTTGCAACTCATTTACTTACTAACTAAACTTATTAATATTCTTTAAATGGACGCCATGAAAAGTGTTGTCAATAGTGATGTAAATATACATCGATACATGGATGTATCTATTTTAACACAAGCGATTGTTTTCGATTTTAACTCGATGTTTTTAGATTCGATGTTTCGATCGATTTTTATAAATATATCGATGTTACGGACATTCCTAAGCAGGGAAATCTCAGCAAATACACAAAAGTAATGAAACTGTGATATGGAATGGTGTCTTAGCAGTTCTTGAGCATTATGCATTTTAAATTTTAAAATTAAATAAAAATTCACGCTCCTAGCTTCTTTTTATACGCCGTAATCAAAGGGCACTATAGTTTCGGGTGTATATAATACAAGTATTATGAATTGATCCCGCTCGTCATTTTCTTTCATCTCTTGTTATACCCCGTACCCGTAGGGTAAAAAGGGTATATTAGGTTTGTGCAAAGTATGTAACATACAGAAGGAAGCATCTCCGACCCCATAAAGTATATATATTCTTGATCAGCATGACGAGAGAAATCGATCTAGACATGTCCGTCCGTCTGTCCGTCTGTCCGTCCGTCTGGATGAAAGCAAGGATCTCAGAAACTATAAAAGCTAGAATAACCAAAGTTGGCATCCAGATTCTCCTAGGTCCGAGTAAGGACGAGTTTATTTTATTTTTTTTAATTTTCCCCCCCTTCCCCCGCGACAGAATTTCGTCAATAGCGTCCACATTTCAAATGCTACCTAAACCAAACTTCGCACACATAATTTATATATAATTGTCTACTGTTGTATAAAATTTTATTCAATTCGGTCAATTCTAAGAAAGGTTATTAGCAAAACAAATTCTCGCCAGTACAACCCCCACAAACTGCAGCAACAAGTTCGCTCTTCTTCTTCCTCTTTTTGCTGCTGCTATGGGCGCATATAACTCAGTGACGGAAGTTTACCTGGGTACAGGGTATTACACTGTCGGGCTTGCTCGACTGTAGCGTTCTCTCTTGTTTTACATTAAAAAAAATCATCGCTGTATCGATGTTTGTCATGGCGATTTTTATTTCCGATGTAAAATATCGATGTTCATTTCAGATTTACATCACAACTAATAATATATTTACATTCATTTGCTTTTAAGCAAGTCCTACATCTATATTTCATTTCATTTGTCTAATAACTTTACCTAATAAACAAATTGTCACTAAACTGTTCCTTCCAACATTAATTAGGTAAACTGGTAAAAATATTTTATTTTATTTATTTATTTATTTTATCATTTGTGCATATATGTATATATTTGTGCGTACCTTCTACCTTCTCAAAGTCGATTTAGCAATACTATTGTTAGTGATAAGAACCATCAATAGCTAGAGAAAAGAGAAACCATCGTTGTTAATGCTTGTTAGAGAATAGCCGAGCAATCGATAGTGGAATCTAAATTTTCTTATTTTAATCTTTTAGGTAAAAAGCAGATTAGAAAGCTAATAATGTTTCAATTCAATTTCTTTACTCTTCCTAAAAACGTTTTCAATTTGCAAGTGATATAAAGATATGTAAATGTTAAGAATATAGGCAGGTAGGCCTTTTCTACTTAATGAAATAAAATGGAGAAATATAAGGCCGAAAAAATTATACAGCCAGCAGTGGATTTTATTAGTTTTTTAATAATTATTTTATTCAGAACTGCCGAATATGAAAGCTGGCTACAATTATATTTATTCTTTTATTATAAGTAGGGACTGGTCGGCTTCAAAAGAGACAAACAGAATAACAGACGATGGTCTGATCTGCCTATCAAACAGGCTGAAGTAACGTTTATACTTAAAGATCACAGATTGGGTTTGTGGCTCTAGATAGATTATAATTTCCATGTTATTTATATGTTCCACAATATGTCTAACCCAACACTAATTCTTCTATTTCTTTCTCCTTTGTAGCTCTGACGGGCTTAGGCGCTCAGACCAGCAACTCGGCAACGGATACGACGAATGCAGCGGCAACGGCTGCTGCGGCCGCTGCTGGTTTGCTGCCACCGATGACTGTGCAACAGCAATTGGCGGCACTGGCTGCCATGACACAACCTAGTCTGTCCAATGCTGCCGCCGCAGCCTCATCGCCAGGCAGTGCGCAATTGACAAACACGGCCGCCTTGTTATGTAAGTACCGCAAAGAGGTGGGGTAGGGCTTAAATTATTGACCCACTGTACAGGAAGGAACCGGGGCTGGGGACTGGCGACTGGGGGTCCATAATGTCGGGTTGTATTTGTGTCCGCTGTTAATCAACTTAACTGCGTGCCCAGCAACTGCGAATTAATAATTCAACACATCCCCAACAACAACCCCAGCAGTAAAAAGTCGGCAACTGTCAATGGCGCTGACTGAACTAATCGACCAAATTTCCTATTTCCGGCTTGAAGGAAATGGATGCTCAGCAACCGACCGTTGGGCCTGTGCCGGTGCCTGTCCTTCGATTGAAACGGATGTCGAAAATATGCCAAATGCCAATTGTAGTTTGACATTTTTGTTGGTTCTGCCTTAAATGCCTTAAATGTTTGTGGTGTGGTCGTTCATCGATTTCTAATTATTCTGTCGCCACTAGCACATACTAGTTGTATATACTACAAATACTATAATGTACATATATTCAGAAGTTGGTTGTTGCTGCATTTAATGACTCGCAAATTGTGGGCTGTTGCGTTCGTTTCGTTTCCCTCGCTGTGTGTTTGTTGTGGCCTGCCTTTTTGGTAGAAAATGTGTTGCGCCTGCAGGAATTTATGGGCTCGAGGGCTGCTGCTGGCTGCAGTCGTTTCCTTGTGGTGTTTGCTTTAGCCAGCCCCCATTAACCAGCATATGCGTTCCTAAGTGATGCTAATTGGTTGCTGTTTTCTTAGGGCTGTGTGCTGGCAATTAACAGCATTCGTGTTTTCTTTTGAAATAAAGCCAAAAATAAGTTGTTTTCTGATTTATGGATGAAGTATCTATATGAAATAGCCTTTAAACTAATTCATTTTCTTATCTCGATGTGTTGACAAACTCGAGTTCGTAATAAATTAAGTTTCAATTGTGTCCATTATTGAGAAAATTATTCTGTCTGCCACAGAATAATGAGGATACGAATGTAGAGAGAATGCATATTAAACAAATGTTAAAAGAAGACTTGTTTGAATGTTGTTTTTAGCAATGTTGCAAGAGCTTCCAGCGCTTTAACTAGCCGAAGTATTTCTTATGAATGCAGTCCTGCAACCTTGAAAGTTTAATTATGACAAATTTCTGTTCAATTCATTGTCTGGTCATACCCTAAGGCTCCTATCTGAACGAGCATATAGGTGTTCTTATATTAAAAATAAAAAATCCAACTACATTAATTGATGCTTTTGCTTAAGGAAATAAAAACCTATTTTCTACCCAAGGAACAAATTGGGTCGTTAGGTCCTTGCTATTATTTGTGCTCTTTAAGAATATTTCCAAGTAGAACTTATGCAAATAATCTTTTGTTATGGATAGAAAACAGTTTGAATTTGTCTAAAGGAAAACAATAATTGAAATGGATTATTTTCGCCGAAGCACAAAAGCCCATAAATACGACTCACTACCTTTTTCTGGCACTTAAAATCTTCACTCGCATATATGAAAAGCAGTTGAAGTAAATGCCATAAATCGATCATTCCTGTTCCTAAGTCCTTGTCGAGCATTGTATTCAATTCTGCTCAATTAGCTGACTATTCTGCCCCAAAAACGTTGCCACTTAAACGAAGAAATTGCCCATTCACTTGTTAATGGGCAATTAGCCGAAATTTTCCAGCTGAAATCATAGAGAATTCGATTTTCTGTTCGCCCCAAACTGTCAATCTTCGTTAAAGCTCTAAAAATAAACTCGACTTCCTCGCCAAATCAGTTGAAGATAGTCATTTCATTTTCGCTTATAGGTTTCCATGCCACTGGCTAAGCCGGAAGGGCTTTTGTTTATTATGGAAATTATTGTTCATTGAATGCCTAACAACATTTGAAGTGTATTGCTATAAACAGCTCAACAATCTACTAACAATAACTCTTATCTCTCTTTCTATTTTCTCCCTCTTCTTACCAATTTTCTCCTTTTTTTCTGAACAATTGCTTAACAAATTTAATGTCTTTAATCTACACATGCAGGCCTCTTAGGAAAGACGGCGGCCGCCAATTCAGGTGAGAGCGTAGCAGCTACAGACAAAGGAAGAGCTTTATCTTCCTCTTTTGTGACTTTTCATCTTCAGTTTGCTTTCCTTTTTCTTGCCACCATTGTTTGATTGTTATTTGTATTGATTTTGTCGACGTCTTGAGTTCCGCTTTCAAACATCAATAGCTTTTTAATTTGCGCTCAGCAGCAGCGCGCTACTTCAACTTGTTTTTTGTTGTTCTTTCGTTGTCACACTCGGAACACATGCAGCGTACAGCTCTTACATGGACCCTCATCGTCATCACCATCATCATCATCATCATCATTAACATCAGAGCTACGTAACGCTCACGTGCGCGCTTGCGTAACGCTTTACGTCGCGCGCATTACAAAAGTTGATGACCGTAAAGTCAACCCGAACCCGAACTCGCACTCGAACTCTCGAATCCAACCCAAGCCAACCAAGTCAGAAGTTACAACACTCTCTTGCGAAATTAACAGCTCGGAACTTATTGCACTCACAACTCCCAGTCCTCTCTGGCCTCATTGGCTTCTTCTGCTGCTGCAGCTGCAGCTGCCTTGAGCTTCAACTTCAGTTTCCTGTTCTCATGTCACGCTGGGGAAATTGCAGTGCTGGCCGCCTGGCCCTGCTACGAGACAAGATGTTTTCATTCCTCCATTTTGTGCTGCAAGCCGGCAACTTTAATTGTGTGACTCGCAGCATATTCAAAATGCGATAAAAACCTATGGCCCCATAAGTTGGGCCAAGAATTATGGCTGTCAGGCGCGCTCGCACACTATCCTATCCTATCGTCCGAATTTTTCAATAGACAGCAGCAAGCACAGAAAGCAAAAACTTACAGCTGCTAAGAAGAAGAAGGAAAAAAATGAGAGTGGCTTAAAACGACTTGGGTATACACTATGAACGAGTATTTCAAACTAAATAAATAATAATCAAATTTTCTACAAATCTAAATCACTCGCAAAAAACACTATTTCACGACAGATTAATAGTAGTATTTTCTATCGATATCGTATACTTGTTATGCTGGTCTATCGATAACTTCAAGCGCCATTTTGGTATGACGTTTGGTTTAACAAAAACTGAAGATTTGAAACCATTTCTTGACTCTCATTTGTTATTAGATAGAAAATCTATTGGTACAAGTTGTTTAATATTTTATTTATTTATTTCTGAAAAAGAAATGTCAATTTCAAGTCATGGAAACATAAAAAAATTCCAACAATAAATATTTATTCAAATTAAAAAAAAAAGAGAATAAGCAATGAATAATTAATATTAAAAATTTGCAAATATTATAAACAGCATTACAGAGACATACGAGATGATTTGCTAAGAAAGACTTTTATTGAAATTCAAGTATATAAATTAAATATAATAATAATAGAATTATAATATAAATAAATTAACTTAGCTATGCCTATGGAACGGCTAAAAAACTAAAATTTTGATTAAATAAAAAATAATTTGTGCATATGATCAATGAAAAAACTTCAACAAATCCCACTGAATTCCATAGTGCGTCATAATAATGAATAATAGACTGAAATCTGGTACTATATACTAACGAGCGTTACCAATTTCCAACAATTCAAAAAATAGGTATACTAAATATTCTTTAACTCTTAAAAGCCTTTCATTAAGTAGGAGAAAAACTCCCACATTAAACAAAACATCTTAGCTGGCTTTTATGTTCCTCTCGTTTGATTATCATTGACGGCAAAAAAGATTTGATAAACATAAAAGCTTAATTGAAAACAAGACTTTATAAAAAAACATTTTATTAAAATTGATATCAACTTTGTTGTCAGGATGATTTCAATTTTAATAAAATTGTTGGCGATTAGAATCAACAACTGACGCTCTTTGTAGCTGTGTTACCAAAGCTGCCATAAACCTAAACAAACCGTTCACCCTTCTTTGGGCGTAGAAAGCGTAAAAATGCACGAAAAAATTCCCTGAAATGCCGAAAAAAAGACAAAGTTGCTGTAAAGAAAGGCTTTTGTCTGTCCAACTTTAACGCAGAAGGCAAAGCCTTGATCCTTTTTCCCTCGGCTTCTCGCTGGCATCGTTTTAAAGTGGTGGGCGCAATGCAGCAGCTTTTGCTAAATTTTTAACTCCCAAATGACAAGAAAAGAAATGCCGACTCATCCTCCCATTATGTCACGCTATGCCGTTGCTATCCTTAAGCGCCGTTCCCCATGCTGGGTTGCCAGTTGTCCGTTGCCTCGTTGCCGGCTTGCTTACTTAGTAAGCTATAAGCCCCTTTGAGTATTAAGTTAATTTTCTGAGAATTTTAGCCGCACACAAGAACAACAGCAACAGAAGCTTCACTTGACTGAGTGAGAGAGTGGAGAGCGGGGAATAAAAGTAGCTGACTTTACCAGAAATATGCCAAAAATTAAGCCGATTTTGTGTGTGTGTGTGAGTGTTTGTCTGTCTAAACTATACAGAGGCATTCAAAGCCCAACCCTCCTTCGTCCACTTGTTTGCTTTTTGGGTTTTTTTTCCTGTTTTCAAGATTCTGGGCGCTCATCATGTGCCACTTCAACGATTTCGGGCACTTAATTTAATGAAATATTAAAAATTCTTGTAACCCAGCCCAGGCAGCCACTTGTACGCGCGCGTGTGTGTGTGTGTGTGTGATTCGAGTTTATATGCTGCGTGCCAAGTGCAGCTGACAGCGCCAGAAACGCCTATCTGTATGCTATACTTTTGCCCCTCTATTTAGCCTTCTTGGCAAACTGCTTTCCTGTTTCTATTTTGCTTTACTTGTAGAAAAATATGTAAGGAAAGAAAGCCAGAAACTTGCGTGTGTTTCTTTCAGTTTCTTTCTGTTTAGCCTTTTCTTTTTTTCTTTGCTTCTCCTGTTGTTCTGTGCCGGAAACATAAACTAAACTACACAATCACTTTCGAGCTGGCAATTGTTGTTCGAGTTCTGACCAAACGAGTTGTTATTGCAGCTAACAACATATATATGTGTGTGTATGTGTGTGCGTGGATTATTTTTATTTTTTATGCGCTGCACATTAAATGACTGGGCTTTGTTTGGTCAACACAGTTGACGCATTGAAAGGGCAATTAAAAATATAATAATTTAAATGAACAATATGCGGCTTGGATTACAGAAAAACTGCAATATATTTATTAGCGATTAGTGATTTTATTGGCTTTCAATATATATATAAAAATAGCTCAGCGTGTCCTTTATTTTTACATTTTTTAAACTGTGATATTACATGACAATCGAAACTACTTGTATATATTGTTATGGAGCTAATCGTTATCGAACAAAATGATGTTAGGTTTGCTGTTGATTCAATATTCAAAGCCTCTAAAAAAGCATTAAAAACGTTTTATACATTTAATACAGCTTAGTCGATTAATATGACAAAAGAGTTTGAAAAAGTGTTTGTATTTTGTGGAAATTTTACAAGTTTGCCAACTGAAAACGCCCACAAACAGAGTTAACACGACAAACGGTTATTAAAGATAATCATTGGTTAAAGCAACAAATTCATAAGCGTATTAACTGGATTAGTAATTTATAGAGCTGTGCAACAATTAGTATATCCTGCTGATTCCTGCTGCGGTTATACCGCTGCTTCAATTTCTTAGCTAACTCTCTTGTCTCAAATCCTAATTTATAAAGCTTAGAATGCTGAAAACTCCAACAATCTTTGCTAGAAACAACTTTATTTTCTTGTAAAATTTGTAACTTTAATCCAACTTTTGGGAATGAAACATTTTTCTAAAAAGACAAAGTTGCGGATAAAAATGTGCAGAGAAGATTTGTAAGCTTTAATTTTAGAATTATAATTAAAAAACTGATTGAGTTAACTTACACTGAGCAGTGTTTTGTGGACCTATTTCACCAATCTCTATAATTTCAAATTTGCATTCCTTTCCAGTCATGTATTTTTAGATTCATAGTTTGTCTTACATTTCAATAATCCTAAAGAAAAGTAAAACAATAAAAAGCCCTGTTCAACGATCACAAAGCAAACCTGACGCTTTAAACGCAATTCTTTGTCTTTAACTCCAAGGGGTATTATATAGTACCTTCTAATGTTGCTTAAGCAATCTAACACTTTTTCAACTGCCTTCATCTCCAGTTCATTTCTTTATTAACATTGTAAGCCTCCCTCCATTGTTATGCGAATGGGTCGCTCTCTCAAACAATTTACAAAAGCACTTTCAATTCAAAACTTTTGCGGCACTGCATATTTTTTTGTTACATTTGTTTTCTCTTCTCTACCCAAAACAAAAATAAAAAAGCAAACGAAAAACGTAGCAAGGAAAACAAAAGCTGCACAAACGAAAATCTTAATCAAAGTTTTGTGAAGTGCAGTAAAGTATGTAGTTTATGCGGCCCGGCAATCTCACTTCCATTTTCTAGTCCCACACTCACTTTCTGCAGCCTCTCCCCCTCCCCCCTCCACACCTTTTTTCCCCCACCACACGACTGTACTGAATTTTTGATTTTTGTTGCTGTTGTTGTTAACTTTTCCAACATGCTTTCCATTACGTTTTTTTTTGCACTTTTTCTCGCTCTCTGCACTTCAAAATCCAGAAGAACAAGAATAACAACTACAGTCCAAAGTGTTGAAGTGCCTGCAAGTGGCAAAGTCTTGTAAAAATTTCCAACTTGGCCGCCGGACAGAAAACTAAAAATTGCCCGTATTCTGGCTAAAAGTCAATGCCAAGAATTACAATTGTGTGGTGCTTGAATTGTACTAGCTAAGTGTAATTGTTGTTGTTGTTGCTGCTGCATAAGCTAACTAAAAAGTTCATTTTCGTTCGCACAAAGATGCAAAAATATAGACATGCATGCGCATAAACATATACTAGTTGAGGAAATTGTAATTGTTTTCTGTTCTTTGAGCTTTGCCACTCATGCACATTATTATTGGCCATACGAGGCGCACTTGACCAGCCGGTTAGCCTTTTTAATGGCGTTTCTGCAACTCTGAAGCCTCCATATGCTGGCAACAATTAAAACAATTTCTAGCAAATATGCAAAAGTTACAGCGCTCGCATTGCTTTTCCGGGGCTTGAGGAAACTGTAAAATGAAAAATTCTGGCCAAAAATTGATTGCAACACCTACGCAGCCACTCAGAGGCTGACTGGCAAAAGCAACTGAATGTGTGGAAGGGAGGCAGTAAGAGAAGACGGGCAGACAGGCAGGCAGACAGGCGCATCAGAAACTTTTAAAATTAAATCTGTAAAATCTCTCAAAGTTTGCCAAAGCTTACATACAAGTGTGTAAGTGTAAAGGTATGTGGTTGGTTGTTTTTGGAAAAAGAAAGTAACTCTTCGTATAAGTTTATAAAGAATTTTCTTTAATGATGGGTTCTGTGGTGCAATGATAAATGAAGCTATTTTTGTCAAAAAATGTGAAAGTTAAGAACATTTGAGAAATATGTATGTACATTGATGCATATTTTCTGATTAAATAGTAATTGCCAGAGAAATATTTGAATATTTGAAATATATCAAGACAGGCTAGTTTTTCAATGGAATTTTAAATGTAAAACATAATCCGCCTAATTATTCTAAAATCAAAAGAGTTATTTTGCAGTACAGTCTGATTAATTGAGTGCAGGAATGGCACTGTATTTCACAAAAAATGTCCGACTCTATTGGTGTTTCTATAGAAGCCTGTGCCACTTCCATTTGTTTCGCTCATGTTAAATCATGTTTACTTTCACGAACACATGACTGTAGACCGAAACCCGCAAAACAGTTTTGGAACTCTGAAAAGGAAATGTGAGATACAATTGAAAATATATTAAATAAATATAACTTTGAAAAGGAAGCGTGAGATACAAAAGAAAATATTTTAAATAATATCAAACAGAATATGAAAAAAACTAAATATAAATATAACTAAACTAATATAACTAAAACTAAATACAATAAAAAATATAATATAAATATAAAAAAAAATATTTTGAAAATAATAATAAAGTTAACAAACTAGATGAAAAAACAAAAAAAAATTGAAAAGAAACCGTTTAAACAAATATAAAGAGCAATAAAAATATATAATAAAAGCTGTAAAAAATTCTCACATAATCACAAAAGAAAACTAGCATTAGTAAATAAAAGGAAAAACATTAAATAAATGCAAAATCATTTTGTTTAATGACTGGTGGCCATTTTAAGATTTGCTTCAGAATTCCTCTTGCCCGCTAAAAAAAAAACTCGGCCAGCTAAATGCCAGAAAACTGTGCAATTCTTAATAAAGTTTATAAAAACCGTCTAACCTATATTCCTGAGTTACCGGCGAGTCATTATTGACGTGTGTGTTCTTTTGTTGTTTACTTCAGTTCTTAATAATCACGAGCTTTTGAAAATGTAATCCCAAATTATTTTTAGGAAGAGAATGCTTAAAATTCTTATAGATTTTAATTGATAACAATATTAACGAGACATACTTGTTTTGCGCGGCACATTTGTGTGCAAATTCTTTCCTCGTCTGACCTCAAGTTGTAAAATATTTGGTGAAGGATTTTTGATAACCAACTAGCTTGGATGTTGAGTACACTCTTAGCGCGTTCGGTAACCGCAATATATTGCATGCAGTATATATACACAGCCACATATACACCTAATTCTATTTATAGACAAACACACACACACACGCACACACATAAACACACAGTGGCACGCAAAACTCATTAATAATAGCGCGGCCATCGACCGAATGATGCGATGCGGCCGCGTCGGTCGTTGTTGGCTGAAACAAACCGCAAAATTGCATTGCATGATGGCAAAATGCAAAACAACAACTATAATAATAATAGAACAACAGGCGGCATCAAGTTGCACACACAAAAACCAACAGCAACAATAACAACAACAACATTAGCAATTGTGTGCAACATGGCGCATGAGTAACAAATTAATTTTAGATTTATACTAGCTGGCCTGCCTGCCGGTCGCGCCTAACTATTTTTTCTTGTGCTGTTTTTATTATTGTTATTATTATTGTTGTTGTTGTTGTTTTGAAAATAATCAAATGTCGTGTAGGCATAGTGTATGATTAATTACAGCAATGGCGACAAAAACAACCGTGGCTGCGGTGACGATAACAACAAATACCAGCAGTTAAATAATAATTATAAACTAAGGCATTGCCCTGGCAAATGTCCTGGCACGACGTCATCATCGTCAACATCACGTCCTTTGGGTTTTATTTAGTTAGTTTTTTCCATCATATTTTTGTGTTATGCAATTTGATTTGAAAATGTAATTTACTTTGACAGGCATGAAGCGAACGCCCACTCACTATCTCTCTCTCTCTTTCCAACTCTCGAAATAGGGTCGGATCCGAATCCATTGGCATCGGCTTATATGTCAACAGCCGCTGGTTTACCGCAATTTAGCACCGCCGCTGCTCTATCCACATCGCCGTTGGCCAGCGTTGCATTGAGCGCAGCTGCCGCTGCCGCTGCGGGCAAGCAGATTGAAGGTAAGTTGCCAAAAATATCTCTACCACCATACTTGTACTATACCCTGCCACACACATACCCCTACCCTATTTTCATTATGCCTCTTGACAGCTATTTTGGCCAACTGATGAGCTAAGCAGCTACACTTGAAATAAAGTTTGCAAATACATAATCAGTAAAATATAGTAGGTCTGACTGTTTGTCTGTATGAACGCTTGAAGCTTGGAACCTTTGCCAACTAGTGGCCAGAAATGTTGATGTGAGGGAAGCTATAACGATTATAGATTTTGGAAGATTAGAAAAATAACTCCTTTTTAAATATAATGTTTATGATTATGAAGATCAAGTAGGCTTCAGATTTTTAAAGAGTCATAAAAATACTAATAGAAAATTCAATTCTGACTACTAAAAAGCTGAAGTTTGCTTCAGTTTTATGGAAAGGCAATGCCATTAATTACAAGTATATGAAAAAGATAATTAAGTTTCTCTCAATTTTGGAAAAAGACGCACCAATAGAAGAATCCAATGTTATGCAGCAAATGGGGAAAAGGTTTCAAAAAAGTGCAGAAAATCTTTCCCATAGCTCTTTTACAGATAAAGTAAGCTTAAGATTTTAAACAAATAAGAAGCATATAAAGATCAAGGATTTTAATAAAAAATGAATTGAAAACGGTTATGTTTGTCCGAGTGTATAATGTTGAGCCTTTTCCCACACCACAAACACCCACACCCTCACACACGCTGTCCTTTTCATTGCATTTGCTGTTGTAACACAAATAGAAATGTCTAAATGCTGACATTTTGATAAATGTTACAAAATGGCTGATGCTCTCGTGTGTCTGTTCAGGAGGGGGGAGGGGGGCGGTTGGATCGCGTTATATACAACTCGATGTGTTAGCGAACTCGTTCGTTGTTGGCACTTTGGTTTTTATTGCTGTTGTTGTTGCTGCCTCTGTCGCTATGGCAGTTGTTGCAACATCAAATGCATTAACCCGCTCATTGCTGTCAGCATTGTGCGTCCTTCTCTCGCATGTCCCCCAGTCCGTCCATGCGGTTTTTCGCCTGTCTGTCATTCAAATGACATTGCCTTGTTGGTTATTTTAAAAATTGTGAGTACTTTCATTAGCGTGCAACATCCATTTTTTTTGGCTTTATTTATAAATGGATATTTTGAGAGAGATTGGTAACAAAATAGCCAGTCATAGTATTAGATTACTTGCAGATATTTTTCAATTTGTAGAACAACTAAATTGTTAAAATCGGTTTCAATATACAGTTCTATTCTCTTTGGGATATATTTCAATTTATGGAATAGTCTAACTTTCTAATTAACGTCAAACAAAATTAGCAGAAAGGGGGCAAACAAATAGTCAGAGAAACTATGATGTGAAGTCTTAAAAATTGATCGGCTGCGTAGAATAATATAGAAATAATATAGAAATAATTTAGAAATAACATAGAAATAGTTTAGTGAAGCTTTCAATGCTAGGCAAGTCTTGAGGCACAACGAATTATTTATTTATTTATTTAAGAAATCAACAAGTAGTGCCGTCGACATATATTATAAATTAAAATGAAGACATAATCTAATAAACGTTAAATACTTTTGTAATTAACTTAATTTTAGTTTCACTTTATATAGAGCTGCCTTTTTTCTAAGCATCTAGCTTATTGTTTGTCTGTTGCTACAAATCCATATCTCACTGTCATTCACTGCCAACAGAGGCAGATAACAAAAATCAATAAGATCAATCATCTTACAGATTTCAGTTTCCTTTTTCTACGCACACACATAGACAGACATCGACAAACTCATCCATATCTAAACGAGAATATATGACCAGCATTTTTCTGCAGCTTAAATTTTTATCAGCTTTTGACACAGCGTAAATATTACACACTTGACACACAATTCCATTAGTCAGACGTTTGCGCGTCGATATCAGAAAATATTGCACATATGAGTGAGCCAAGGAGGATAGGGCGGAAGCAGTAGGGTAGGGTAGGGGAGGGGAGGGGAGGGAGGGGAGCCAACTGCAGCAGAAGGAAGCAGCGCCTTGGCACACATAACATTAAAGTTGCACGCAGGCAGTCAGGCAGGCAGGCAGTCAGGAGCATAAGGAGATAGCGAAGTAGACAGATGGCTAAGGAGCTGAGAAGAGAGAGAGAGAGAGAGAGAGAGAGAAGTGATAGAGAGTGTGAAGAGGAAAACGGTTGCAGAAAATGCAACGGAAAATGTTTTGGCATTGCACTTTTTGCCATATTTCCGGTTACATAAGCAGCAGCAGGAGCAGCAGCAATACTAGTAGTGCCACTACTTACATATGTATATAGATATAGAGTGAGATATATTTTTGCAGTTGAGTGACTTGCACATTTTCTCTTGGAGCGTCTCTGTCCGTGTGCGACTTGTTTGTGTGTCATGTGCGACTTCTTGTATGTTTGCTGACTCATGACGTCGCCAAATTCCCCATGGCCACCATAAGCAACTGCAACAGCAATACCAACAACAAAAGAGAACAAAAAACGTTATGAAGCGAAACAAAACAAAAGCTAAAACACAAGTCATGGCAGCTGCTGCTCCTCGACTGCCGGGGAAAAGCACGAGGCACGAGGCAAGAAGCAAATTGTGCGACATGTGAGCCGCCACCACACCAAGCTGATGCTTGATGCTGGATGCTTGTCTTGCTTGTCTTGTCTTGTCTGCTGCCTCACTTAGCTGCTGGAAGGAGCGAGTATCGCTAAGATTGTGCAGCAAACAATGCAGAAATCATGGTGCTTGAAAGTATTCATTTTAAGGTTTAAGCAACAAAAGCGCAAAAAATGGCAAGCAATAAATACATTAGCAGCACTAAGAGCTTTCTTTGATATTTGTGTGAATGAAGGAAGAGACTAACTAAAAGATTCATTATCTGATCAGCGTGGACAATATATAAACGCCAAATGAGTCAAAAGCGTAGGCAGGAAAATAATTTGTTTAGAAGCTCGTAAGCAACTAAATAAAGTCTTACAAATGAGCGTTTTAAAAACTATTGCTGCTGAAAGTAATAATAAATTTTACTAAAAAGACACTTTTAATTGTTAAATTTCTAAAAATTAATGAAATTAAGAATTGTTCGCTTAAACTATGGAATTCTTTACACGTATTCAAGTTGTATACAACTTATGTTTAATAGAATTGAGCTACTATTTCTAAAAGTATCCGCAACTTTTGTGCAAACAAGAGGCTCGGAATAACTCCTCTAAGGGGGTTTCAACTTAATTTTCCAATTTCGAACTTCTATTTTGTTATTCCCCAGATACTTTTGGAGAGAATAAGGCTTTTCTTATAAACTTGGGAATTCTTTACACGTATTCAAGTTGTAAACAACGGTTATTTAATAAAATTAAGCTACTATTTTTGAAAGTATTCACAACTTTTGTGCAAACAAGAGGCTCGGAAAAACTCCTCTAAGTGGGTTTCAACTTAATTTTCCAATTTTGAACTTTTATTTTTTAGATTAGAGTATATTTGTTGTGTACTCTTAGGAATCGCAAAAACGCAGAAACACATTCCCCAAATATTGTTGGTGAGAATAAGGCTTTTGTTATGAACCACAATTTCTTAGCAGAATTTAAAATCTTCTTTAAATCAAAGCTGCAATAAACTTTCTGTACGAGCAGCCCTCGCGCGTTTTCTGTTTTCTTTTTCGTAGCATACTTATCGGCGCTCGCAGCGCAAGTCAAGGCAAGTCATTAGTTTGACTTCAAAAACACGCTCGTACACATAACAAACGCTATTTGGCGCAGTCGAAAACCGCGCACATGCCACTGATCTGTGTATGCAAGTATTTTGGATTTTTTTCGCCTCTTCATTCACCCTTTTCTCGCCACAAATAAACTTCCTGTTTTGCTTCAGTTCCGTGCTTTTCTTTTCTCTGCTTTTGGCTGCTGTGGCAAGTCTGTGCGAAAAACGATTTCCTATATTGCATTTTCCTCTTCCGTTGAGCAAAGATGCGGCATCCGTCGTTGCTGCTGCTTGTGCCGCTGCTGCTGCCATTGATGCATGCAACGTTGCCCTGCCACACGCACATATGTGTATCTACATGCCAAATGCAATATGTATGTGTGTGCATGTGTGTGTGTATGCCGGTGGCTGTCTCATATGTTTGCTAACAAGCAGCAGCAACAATTTCTGCTTGAATTTTTTGTTCGCCTCGCAATTTTATGTCATTTTCTTGTTGCGCTCGCTCCCAACTCCCAAGGGCACGCAGGCCAACTGGAATATATGGCACTAGATATGGCCTTAGAGCTTTATTGATTTTTATGCTTGAACTGTAGAGCAACAGAGCCAGCAACAACAACAACAACAGAAACACGCATGCATACTCTCATAATCACTCACTCAGTACTCTGTTGCCAGTCCGTCAGGGCAGTCATTGCCGGCCCATGACATAAGTTGCAAATCTTTTGACTTCCTAGGCTCGTCGCACATTTACGAGCATGTATGTACTTATATTGTATTGTGACTACACTCGCAGAAATTCAATGGGATGAGGAGAGAGGTAAAGATATTACATTAACAATTAAACTTGCAATGAAGTTTGGATATCAATTCGTTGGGGCTTATCAATAAGTTTTACGCCTCGCATAACTGGGATTTTTCATACTCTTTAAGATACGCTTTTGTTTCGGCCTAGAAGGGGTATCATTTATCATACCATTTTTTTCACCTACGAGCCATGTTTTCAAGCTAGGAACAGAAAAATGACACTTCAGAGTAGATTCTCCCGGAAAAATCCATTCTAAGCTAAATACCTTTTCGATGATAATCACATTCTTTATTAAAAACAGGATCGATATTACAATTCTGTATTGTATCTTTTAATTAATATTTCGGCAATTGATTCTCCCGGAAAAATCCATTCTAGGCTAAATACCTTTTCGATGATAATCACATTCTTTATTGAAAACAGAATCGATATTACAATTCTATAGTATTGTATTGTATCTTTTAATTAATATTTCGGCAATTGATTCT